GGAATCGGGCTCACGACAGCTAGACATCTAACGGAATCATCAGCAGCAAGTTTTCAATTTTTTTCCCACGAAAAAATATTCACGTCGTAGCACCAGAGGAAGTCCCAAATCCTACTGGTGTATGAATCTGGACGCACGTTAGGCGAAAGCCTGTTTTCGTCCTAGAAACCTGACCTGACCTGAACTGCTTTCGTTCACAGGTACATAAGCTAAAAGCAGTACATTGTGATAAAAAGCAACTACGTCATGAAGCAACTACTCTCTTTTGTTGACAATTGCGTTGAACGTGACTGTTTGATTTAGAAGAGATCGGTACAAAGAAGAACGAGAGACGGTGTGTGTGTGTGTGTGTGGGTGGGTGGGTGGGTGGGTGGCTGGGTGGTTGGGGATGGAGTGGGGAAAGAAACGTCACTGAGGTGGAGTGCGATGCATTCTCGCAGTCATTGTCGCCACTTGGATTGTTGGGTTATGCACACCGGTCTGAGTACTTTGTCGCCATTCGTTGAGGACTTTCACGTTTAGAGGTCACGCGAGAAATTGGTTCAGCCAAATCGGATGATAGGTATAGTGCATGGGTTTCACTGTGGCAAATCGCTTTCCCCGGTTCCTCGGGGAAGTTCAGCGCGGCGCGCGCGCGCTCTCTCTCTCTCTCCAGTCAATGCTATGTAGGAGTAGGTTGAGGTATATGGATTTCCGGGTAGATTGTGTCACAAACGGGACACGTAAGAGGTCATGTTGCTAAACCAAACCCCCCACGTGCTCGGTTTTCAATCTGCTACAACGAGCACCGAATTTTGGCTACATTTATGCACACAAGTACCACAATCTGCAAATAGTAACGATTCAACAGTTCTTTTAGTTTCAGTCCTTCAGAAAATGGTTACGATTAATGGTTTGAGTAATGCATATATATATATATGCGAGTAATTCCCTTCTCCCGTTGCGCTTCAATGAAACCGGTGAATTTTTACACACGTGTTTGCAGTCCGAGACGCATCAGCGCTACCGGGAACTGTGCAATCCGTGAGTTGTACCTAATATCGATTGATTTTTGTTGTCCGTTTGTTCAGAGGTTAGTACAGGCTTGAGCTAACCGCCTGTGCAGATATGGCATGCTCGTGCAAAACATAACTGAGGCGAAACTGTGGTCATCTCTAGGGGGTATTTGTTCTCTTTTTCTTCTCTTCCAGATACAACTTCTCGTATCCGACTGTGATGTCCGTGCCTATGCCCGACTCGAAACCAATCTGAACGAATTAAGACAATTGATCGAACAGTCTGAGTTGTGGGTGCGCAGACCGAATGCGTCAGAAGATGAAACGGTCAGTTTGCCCCCGTTTTCTCCCTCGATCTGGGTAGTGGTAAGAAATCCAATAAAATCAACAATTCTGATCCCTAATGCAGGGTTTGGGAATGAATTACAAAATATAAAAAGAACATGAATAGGCCGATGTATGTTGAACAAGCCCTTTTGTTGACACAGAATTGGTTTTCAATCACTCGAAATGCTTTCACGCGATCAACGAGGTGTTGTATCATCAACAAGGGCTTAGCCGTCGATGAGTTTGTTGGTTTGTAAACACGGCTAGCGACTGTGTGGACTTGTGGACATGGCAACATTGTGTTGAACCCGATTCGGACTATGATCAAAAACCTGATTACGTCAATGTGTTTCTGGTCTGTCCATGTAAGTGTCATTGCACCCAGAGTGAGTTGGTCAACAGAGATGGGCGTTATTCAACTGTGGTTGAGTCACGGGTATGCTCTTCATTCCGTGCAAAATTCTGGGTTTGGCTACGTACTTAGTGCGGTTGACAACCGATAGTCGATTAGTTACATCATCACAAATGGTGACCTCCAATCTCGACTGTGAGGGAAGCAACGAACTCTTAAATATTCAACCTACTGTGCCTGTCCATTCCATCCGTTCCCAAACCTTGTATAAACAATGTATTTGTCTGCAGGAGGGACCAGTTAGGATGTAGCGAAATCGTCCGGGACATGCATCGCTCAATCTTTCGTTTTTAATCGCTTCTCGTTTCAAACTTGTACTGGACTGAATCACTTGCACGAGTACAATCAAGACCTTAAATGTCCGAGGCTACGGAAAAGTTTCATTACCCCCTTATTTTTGCTTATGTGGTCCTGAGAACGAGATTTAGGCGCTTAAAAAATGGTGCTTAAAATCTGTGAGAGTACTTTTTGAAAAGTCTGGTTCGGAGTTTCACAGTCAACTAATTTTACAGAAATCGGGGGGAGAGGGGAGGGAAACCCAGCTGCTCATCATCGGACCGCTGTACGCGACTTTAAATTCCAGGGCTGAGGTGTGCGAGGACAAATAACCAGAGAAGAGTAAGATAGGACTCGTGAAAACATCAGACAGGCGGTAGGCGACCGTCGGACATACTCAAAACGTGTCCTTACCAACGGAGCCTACTGAGCTGGATTCGATGAGATAGCGAGATCTTTCTTGTCTGATGTATTCCTAAATACTCGACGACTTACTTCTAGGTTACCAACCCACTCACTTCATCTCACTTGGGACAGACTACGTAAGCATCGATTGCCGAAAACCACCAGTCGACGGATGTCTTCTACTCGCAGCTTCAAGGTCTCACAACTGTAAAACAGAACTGATCGTACAGTGGCACAGTATACGCGACTTTTCAACTTTAGTGGAACATCACGTCGCCACCATAGATGCCTAGGTACTGCTTATGCTACTCGAGCTTGGAAATGCGGGCGGTTATCTCTTTCGATGCGCTGCCGTCGTTGGTCACGCAGCTACCTAAGTATGAGAAGCAGTCAACTTCAGCTAATTCCTGACCGTCTAGTTTCAGCACAGAACTCGGTGACACCCAGTCTTGTAGCATCACCTTGCACTTTGAAGG